TCTGCCATTTTGCCCGACTCCACCATCGCGCCGCCACGCATCTCCGCTCCGACCTTCCTGCCGCGATCTTGGTTTCGTTTGGGCCTCTCGGAGGCTTCTCGGGGTCCTCCTCGGCCGCCTTAGGCGCCCCTTAAGCCGTCGTGGGGCTATATTTGGCTGTCTTGGGCCGTCTTGGGGCTCTCTTGAGTTGTATTTGGGCCCTGCTTGGGGTCCTCTTGGGTTATGTTGGGCTACTCGTGGACCGCCCCGGGGCCGTCCGGAGCCGTCCTGTGGCCCTCTTGAAGCCTTCTGGCCCGTCTTGGATCGATCTCGAAGGTCTCCGATGCAGTCTTGGGCGCTTGGGTGCACAAGAATGGCGATGCGCAGAAGATGCAAGATCCCCCAGGGAATCTGACGGTTGGGAACCTCGTGGGGGTCCTCTTGGAGCCTTCGGGTGGCGTCTTGGAGGCTTCTTGGGCTCTTGGGGCTATCTCGGAGCGATTGGGTGCCATCTGGGAGCACGTGGGCATTTTGGGTCGTCTGGAACCCGGCCCGTGGGGGTTATTTCGAAACCGTTGGAGGCCGCCCAAGAGCATTTCCGAGGCGGCCGCGGCCACTGGCATTTTTGACCCCCCCCCCCCTTCCAATACATCCAGACCTGCCGGACGGAGCTCCCGGGGGAGGGCTGGGGAGGGGCGACAAATTCACATGCCGTAGACCGCAAGTGTCGGTTATCTTTCCATGCGTTGGATGTGTGGGACGCTTTTGCAATCGCGCACAAGGGCTGCATGTTGTGAGCGTGCTCGTCCCTCCCCCCGCGCGCTCCTCCTTCTCCCGGCGCCCGCCGTGCCCAATTCGGCTGCGTGCATCCCGCGTCTGCCTCTGAACGCGGCCAGGATTCTCGCCGCTCCGATTGCCCATGCGATCGCACCAGCGAGCACGCGGGCGCCAGGACCTCCTGTGGGCCACATCCGATGGGCCCTGCCCCGTCCAGCCGCCCTCGCAAACACGCCCGCGTCGTGAACATTTCGACGCGGGGGGTGCGTCTAACTCGCGGGGATATTTCCTTTGCCCTGACTCTTGCTGCAGTCCTCGGCGTCAAGAGGGCCTCTTCTTCGTACAGCTTTTGGAAGCCTGGAATGGCTTCGGATAGTCTCGGATGGCGTCGGACACGGCGCGGATGTCCTGATTGGGGGGCAAGCGTGCCCCCCATCGAGTTAGCACGTGGGTCTTCTCCAGCAGCCCTCGCCCGGGCCGCGGAGCCATCAAACAAATACTCAGGATGGGAGGCCAGGGCTTTCGGGGGGCCCGTATTGAAACATTCCAAGCGTCGCAGGTTTATCAGCCACGCGCGCAGGGGGGTAGGGGGCGGGGGAGGGGTTTTCAGAAAGAGGCTGCTTCTTAGAACGCGCGCCAAGTTTGGGCTGCTCCCGCGTGGCTTTCCGCGCACGCGAGAATAACGCCACATGGTGCTTGACCCGCCACGTTCAGCTTGAAGACAAGCACGGACTGAGTGCGCTGCCCGTTTCCTTCCTCCGCGGCCGTCCTTTTCACCTCGCTGTCTTCTGTGTGCTAGTTCGTTGTCCAATTTGCTTTTGTGTCTCAGTTCGTTCTCGGTGCATCCCACCGCTTGCTGACCGCCGTCTGACTGTCCTTGACCATTTGGCGCCCGCGGACGTAGAAAGTGTTTTAGGTCGCCGTTCTACATTCCACTATTTGCTCGGGCGCGCCGTGCGACCGCTGGTGTTGCGACGAAGCCTGTCTTCGAGTGTTGTTAGACACGTGGTCCTGGCCCGAGGTGTCCCGAACTCTTCGCGAGATGTTGGAGCCCCTCCAGTTCCCAGGCCGCGTGATGGGGTGCTCTGGAGGCCTTCTTGGCCCCCTTGCGGCACCTCTGACCAGGGACACGTTTGGCAACATCCAGGAGCTATGCACTGCTCTCAAATAGTGCCATCATAGTTTTCCAGGTGTGTCCTTGCACCCTCGCCTCTCGGCCCATTCTGGGCGTCAGCCGTGGGCCACAAGTTTCCAACCTCGGCTTTACTGGTGGGCGTCGAACGGCCTTGCATCGTCATCACGCACCGTTTGATCCGTTCCCGCTGTAGAAGTGGTATCCGGAACCTGTCGGTTTTAGAGGAGACCAGTTTGGATCGGATTTGCACCAAGGGCCAGTTCCTCCACGACTGACTGCGACCTCCTCCATCTCCCCCTCCTCCGTCTCCTCGTCCACCTCCTCCACTTCCTCCTCCACCTTCTCCTTTTTCTTCTCCCGTCTCCTCCTCCTCCTCCTCTTCCTCCTCCTTCTCCACTTCATGATCCTAGTATCTTTACCGGGAGTCCGGTGTCTTCCTTGCTGTTCTTCTCCGATGGCGCGCTTGCTATTGGCGACGTCTCGTGTGGCGTAGCCGGGTCTGTCAGGCGTCTTCCGTCTCCTGTTCCAGCTCCGAACCGCGGGTGTGAACATTGGGCAAACATACATTGCTTCTCTGACCGTCCGCCGTAAGTGATCTTCTTGCATGGATATGATTTGTCCCAACCATCTTGTGGTGTTGACTCCTCGTTGACAGCGCCCCGCGTCCTCTCCTCCTCTCCTGTCTTCAACTCCACTCCCCTCTCCTCTCCTCTCCTCTCCTCTCCTCTCCGCTCGTCTCCTCTCCTCTCTTATCCTCTCCTCCTCCCTCCTCCCTCCTCCCCATCCCTGCCTCTGACCTCCGCGCGCGCATTTCGGCACACCCCTCACACACTTCGTATCCCCATAAGGGCACCACTGAAGGCCCCAGCGGTAGGGTCCGTATGTGGGCGTCACCGCCGTTTCGGCACACCTCTCGCACGCTTTGTGGCCCCACAGGGAGCTCCACCTGAGGCCCCAAGCGGCAGGGTCCGCGTGTGGGCGTCACCGCCGTTTCGGCACACCTCTTGCACACTCTGTGGCCGCAGCTCCTCCTAAGGCCCCAGTGAGCGTCACCGCCGTTTCGGCACACCCCTTGCACACTTTGTGGCCACAGCTCCTCCTAAGGCCCCAGTGGGCGTCACCGCCGTTTCGGCGCACCTCTCGCACGCTTTGTGGCCCCAAAGGGAGCTCCACCTGAGGCCCCAAGCGGCGGGGTCCGGGTGTGGGCGTCACCGCCGTTGCGGCACACAAACACACACACACACACCACGCACACACGCACACACGCACACACGCACACACGCACACACGCACACACGCACACACACACACCCACACCCACACCCACACCCACACCCACACCCACACCCACACCCACACCCACACCCACACCCACACCCACACCCACAACCACACCCAC